TCAATTGTGTACCACTATTTGGGAAGACCCAGCCACGAGGTGGAGTGGTAGACCCATCTGGCCAGAATACAGGGTGTAGGTGTTGATTTGCACTTGAACGATTAGGCGGTCTGCTATAGAGACTTTCTGGTAAAGTGGTAGATAAACCTGAATAATTAGACCAATAGCCAACCACCCGATATCCAGTTCCTATTACATTGATTATATCATATGCAGGGTCAACCAGAGACCTTTCTGAATTAAACTTTAATGGACCCGTCAAGCCCGTGATATTGGTCTTCAGTATACTGCTCAACAATGCTGGTCCTCCATCAAATTTGCGCATTCCTTGAAGAAAACGTTCGCTGCTATTTGATGAGTGTAATTTTGTATCGTTAGAAAATGAGACGTTTCCACCTTGATTTAAGTATGCATCAATTGCATGTGCAAGGATCGAAACTGAATCATAAGCATATAGAGCAAATGCATTCAATCCTGGAGAACCACCAGTAATGCTTTTCCACCTTGAGGCAAAGGCTCTCTTTCTATTAGAATCTGGTGTGTGCGCACGCATGACAAGGAATCCTTGCATCGAATTCATCATGTCAGAAGAAAGGGGGGAATACGAATCAAGAAGAGAAGAAAGCCAGTCAGTGGATATCCAAGCATATCCATTGCCTATCATCCCCAGATAACTGGCCACATTGAATATTATACGGCCTGAATGAGAATTTACATGCAGGATAATAACCCGAGACTCAAGCATTGCAATCTTAACAAATATATCCATGATATCACTCCGAGTAACACTAGTGGTTGGAGGAATCGCAGCTTTATATGAGATTCTGCCAAGTTTATCAGCAAGAGCATCATCAAGAGCTGCAATACCATTCCTTCCATAATCATCATCATCGAACACAGCGACAACCTCCCTCCACCCATAATAATCAACCAATTCAGAAATCGCGGTCATCTGATAATAATCACAAACTGTGGCTCTGACAAAAAAGGGAGAGTTTAAGGGTGTAAGAGTTGCATCAGTAGCTGCAAATGACAGCAAAGGAGTTTGAAGTTCTTTAGCTACCAAAGTCACCATATGAGCAACTGCAGAAGACTGAGGGCCTATGATTGCCACGACTTCTTTCGCCATCAGTTGCATTGCTGCAGAACCCAAAATTATCAGATAACACAATCAGGTGAATCTTCCTAACACATCAGTCTCCAAACAATTGAAGAAACAAACTTTCAGGGGTTGAAATACCTTGAATAAAGCCCAAAAACCCGCTGCAGACGGATTCCTTCATAATTAAATTGAGCGTGGTACCATTTAGGACACTGGAATCGGAGTTGACATCATTAACAGCTTCATGAAGTGCAATCTTAGCAACTTTTCCAATACTAGAGTTGAAGTTAAAAAGCGCCCCAACATTGATGACAGCAGGTCTTGCTGCATCATTACCAACGCCATTCGAAACCACAAACAACAAGTAGATGAACAGAACACGAAACCGGTACATTTTCATCTTAAACAATCAGGCATTGCATAATAACCTCTTCTCCACAAATTAAGAAACCTCCAGTATCCAGAAAGCAGTTTAAACTCAAACTTCTGAAAAATATAAAAATCAAAGAGCTAATTAAGCAGATGGAACATGCAATACTAAACAAAACTTAAAACAATAAAACCCCACATCTTAATCAAGGCAAATAACAAGCATAAATATACCAGAAAGTTAACATATAAGCATATAAATTGAAAGCTTAAACAAAAATTAGAAGTTTCCAAGAATAGTAAGAGTTTGTACATACTTTAGAACATCTTCTTCTACAGCATAGTAGAGTAATTTCCACTAATCATGCTAAATTTTTCTTCTGAAGCCCAGATTTTCTCCAAAGTATTAATAAATACGCATGAATTCAAATGACTAGATTCTGATTTAAAAGGGGGAAGAAAGGAAAAAGATGAAATTTTCTCAAGAAAAAGTGGTACCCCACATCAAATTCCTAGCCCAGAAAGAGAGTACAAGCATCTAATCTAATCTTTAATAAGAGTTTAATAAATTATATTACATATTACATTTCTTGGAGCTGAAACCCAAGTGGGCAGGTAATCTAACTACTGCCCACATGAAATAAAGAACAAATGACAGGAAATTTTTAAAAAAATTGAAGGACAAAGTACAATATGCTTCCTCTATTGTTCTTCCTATGCTACTCTATTTCAATCTTGAGTCTTGACTATTAAAACTCCCATCATTATACCATTTTCAAAACTAGCTTTGTTGGTTGGTAAAATCTTGGGACACTTGAACCCAAGATCAAACCTTGTATACACCGGTAAAAACCAAACCCAAGACCTCTTTTTACACTCCAAAGTCCAAAATATCATCTGTTTTTATATTATTAATCTGTGATCATACAAAAAAAATATGATAACATCAGTTCGAGTTCACTTTAGTTGTCACGTTAATTAGCAAGTGAACTTAAAATACGACAACATCTATTCAAGTTTAATTTAGCTGTTGCGTTACCTAGCTAGTGAAGTTAAGGTAAAAAATTAGTGAAAAAAACAAGTAGGTCAATAAAGTATACAAAGAAAACTTACCAATAGTGGCTAAAAATTTCAAAGGGTGTAATCCAAATTCCAAACCCATTTTGGTCCCGCAAATAATAATAATAATTGCAGGGGGTCACAAAAAATTTAATCTTTAAAAAAATGACATTGGATTTGAGATTTTTGAGAGGAATGTATAAAATGAAAAATCACAAGAAAAACAAGGAAAAATAAAAAAGAAAGAAAGAAGAATAAGGGGTTTGAAGGAGACAGACGAAAGAGAGGAGAGGAGAGGAGGGGATAGCGGGCCCCACGTGAATGGGAACAACAAAAAAATAAAAGCACAGGTGTGATTTCTGCTGTACTGTTAATGATGATTTTTGCTGCAGCACTGATTCATTTTTGCTAGATCTATCTGCCTGATTTCTTTCTCTATCAATATTTATTTCATTTTTTACCTCACTTGACTTAACTTGACTATGACTAGTGTTGAGGTCTTGAAGACAAGGCAACATGATGCCCGTCGTGTTTCATACAAAGTACAGAGTATTGTTATCGTAGAGAGTTGAATCGGGATTAATATTACTTTACTATATTAACTACCAAGTCCCATAAACAAAACAAAAAATTTACTAAAAGAAAACAAAACAAATGTTTTAATGAGTGGCAGTTTCGTAAATAAATTAACAACATATCCTAGTTCCAGCAGGGTCGTTTATTAAATGACATTATTGTGATAAAATTAACAATTAATAGGCTCATATTTAATGAAAAGTGTTGAATAATTTACAAAGTTGAGCTAGTAACAAAACTTTAATATTTTTGTAAAGGATAAGATAGAATGTTCATAGTTGTTAGCTTGTCATTCTATTACCAATGGTTAGCTAATTCTTATTGTTGGTTGTTAGTATTGCATATAATATCAATTTCTCTAATTAATTATTGTGAATATGTGACGTTGGGTTTTTTTTTCTAAAGAAAGCTTTGACTTCTCTTTAAGAAAAGAATCCCTTGCCAAAAAGGCAAAAACCTAGTCTTTTCCTTGCTTCTCCCTTGGAGTATGTGCTTCATTTGTTCTTTGCTCTGATTTAGTCACAATTGTTTTAATTTTGTACTATTCACACTATGTACATTTATTTTTATATCATTTTTTTTTTGGGTTAATATGAAAATGGATGTTTTGTAAAATTGTTTGATTAGTAATATACCTTCAAACTTCAATTTAATTTGTATTATTTATATTAAATACTAACACATGATAAACGTAAATTAGCAGTACGATAAATGAAAAGGTTTAAAATGTTCGAAATTAAATAAAATAATAAGTAGGTTTGTAGAAGTAGTTCTTCAACGTTCATCAATCTTTCTCTTCGAGACATTCTCAAATCCAAAAACCCCAACAACAATAAGTTAAACATCATATGAATATACCTAAGTGTGGGCCAGCAAAATTTGAAAATAAATAAGAATGTGCATAAGTAAGTCAAAAAGATTTTAATAAACTCCCAAGAGTTAAAAAAGATTTATAGAGAGCAATCCAAGAGCTACTCAAAAACCCTTGTTATAGGGCATAGAATTGGTTCTTAAAATCATGAGTTTCTCTCTTCTTCCTAGAGAAACTCATAGATCACTACTCCGTGTGAACATAACCTAAATCCAAAAAATCTAAATTTGAGTCCACAAAAGTCTAACTCCTATTTTTGACTCTAGATAGGAATCACACTTATGTATGGATCTTGGTTTTGGTCCAACTCGAGTCCATGATTTGACCCAAGTTCGACATGATTCTGGTATTTGACCTAAGGGTTTGTTTGGGATCGTTGTTTGTTTTTAGTAGTAGGTTTTTTTTAACAAAAACCAAAAACAGTATACTAGAAAATGTTGTTTCCACTCTTTTGTTATTAGATTCCAAAATTATCATTTTTTTTTTATAAATTTGACCAACTTTTGTTATATTAAAGGACATATATCACATGATTCTTAAAAAAACAAAAATTAAAAAATTAAAAAATCACAGCGATACCAAACGAATTCAAACTATTTAGATCCATTTAGGCCATGTTCTTTTGAGCTTCTGGACAGAGTAAAACAGCGCAAATTTCAGCATTATTATTATTATTAAATATTAGTTATTATTATTATTATTATTATCTTTAAATATTAGTTATTATTATTAAATAAATTATGCTTATTTAAACAGAGCAAAGCAGAGAGGAACTTAACAGAGCAAAGCAGAGAGGAACTTAACAGAGCAGAGCAGAGCAGAACAACTCAAAAGAACAGAGCCTTACAATTTTCAATAAAACAAGTTTAAAAAAGTATGGACATATTTGGATTCGAAGGTTCGCAATCCCCAACGAACATGGACTCAGAACCCACCTAATTGGACTGGAATTTGATCTCAAATCCGATTAATTTTTGGGTTGGACTTTGATCCGATTGCTAATATTGCCATACCTTAATCCAATCAAAAGAGTTTCTCCCAAATTTGTTCCTCCTCTCTCACTCTCCCTTGTCCAGAAACTGAACCTGTTCACACCTCAACTTTTCTATTCACCCCTTTCTCTCTATAAACCCTAGAATTTTTACTGCGCCCATTAACTTAGCAGCCCCAAATCATGGCTCTGGTATGCTTATGCTTTCTTCTTCTTCTTCCTTGCTAGTTCACAATGCTCATACTAATCCCTAATCAATTAGAGTTATGATTTAATTAGTATTTTAATTAGTTTGTTGTTTTTGGGATCCCCATTTGGATCTGTAATTGGTGATTTTAGTGCTTTACTTGCTAATAATGTTGATATTAGTCAATTTTGATTACTGGGTTTTGCTGCTAATTGTGAATTTGACGTTCTAATTCTTTACTTTATCTATGTTTTCTTATGAATGCTTAATTCTGGTAGTTGTTATTGATGTATGGGAAGCTTTTGGAATTAGACGATTTTAGTAGTTGTTATTGATGTATGGGAAGCTTTTGGAATTAGATGCTGACAAAAATGGGGTTTACATGTAATGCTTCTTATATAGTTATATGATAATCTTGTTGAAATTATACATTAATTTATTTTGCTAATTGAATTCAGTTTTTTTATTGCTCTAATTTGAATGTTTATTTTGTTGCTACCAAACAAAACATTCTTGATATTGGAGTTGCTATTTCTTTTCGTGATGTAGTTTCAACCTTCAAGTATGCAATTGGCTTATAATTGCCATATTATGCTACGATGTAGCACGGCCATTTTGGTTACTATTCTTTGTAGTTTTCACTCACTTTCATAAAATATTAGCTTTATCAAGTGTCCTAGTGATGTTACTATCAATACTTTTTTCCTTGTAAGTTTTACGTTTTTATGATTTGATATCAGTGACTTCATTTTTACCCACCATTTGTCAACTTTGAATGTCTTTTCGAATACTTAGTGACTTCAAAATAGTATAGATAAGAGTTTATGTACATTGACTTAAGACTCATTTTCTCTTTTATTGGCAAAACATTACAAGGAAGATTAGTGGGCAATGGTCTTTTTCTAACACAAGTCGCTAGCTTCTGGGCCGGTTCCACTAATAGTCTATTGTGTTAATTAAATTCAAGGACACTGTTGTAGCTTTGATGTTGTTTATTATAGGAATGATCTCCTTCTTGCTTCTGATCAACAAGGGCCTTTTACTCTGTATTGAATCTGTCCACATTTCCAGTCAATACACGAATGGGGCTACTTATTTTATATCATGCAAAATTTGCATAGGCTTCTTCCTGTAATGCTGTGGTTTCAATGATTTTTACCGAAAATTCTTTATTTGGTAGCTCTTCCTATTTCAATATCCATCCTAGTGCTGATTTCTGACTGTTTACCTCCTCTACATGCTCTCTACCAAAAGCTCAGCCATTCGTTGACCTTCAATTGACAACCTCAGATTCTGAAGGAGATTTTTTTTTTAGCTGTAGTTCCCATTTGTTTTTTCAGTTCTAAAAGCTTCTCCATCTCTTCTTCCATATCTCAGATTGTTCCAAAATTCTGAGACCTGAATGGTTGATCCTTTGAATACTAATTCATTTCTGCAGACCCATATGCTCACAAAATGAAAATGAATTTCGGAATTCCACAAGCCAATACTTGTCTTTCCCATCTTGTTTCTCTAATTGCTACGAGTGCTTAAAGTGCATGATAGCAAAACCTTCTGCGATACCTCACAGTCCCTGGATAAGTGAGCTTGAGTTTCTCTGTCCTTAGAGTGCTGATACTACTTCCTACGTCTATCTTTTCTACTCTTTTAAATAATTTGACTTTAGTCAGATAACGAGTGCCTACTTCTTTTGTATCGACTAGAGTCAAAGGAGTGAACAACACTCACCTGATTGCTAGCTCAGTCCATTGACTCTTGGTTGCTCATTTAAGTTTTTTTTTTTTTTTTTTTTTTTTTTGAAGGGAAAGATAAAATATCATTAATTGAAAGCCATAAGGCATCTACAATAAGCATTATCGAAAAGTAAAATACAATCTAAATTAATCAAGTAAAAATCCTCTTTAAAGAAACTATGATGATGAGAAACTAGATCTGACGATGAAACACAATCCCCGATTGTTCGCTGAATTATGCTCCCTTCTGTGAGGGAGTCCATCTTCTTAACATAGTTTTGGGAAGAAAATTCATTACTTAACCATGTCGATCGCATCCTCAATTCCAACGCCAATTGCAAAATTGTACGAATAACAATCCATGAATCCAATCTTTTAGATAAAACCCTAAAAATAAATTTCAATCTTCCATAAGGGAAGAGAAGAAAGGCAAACACCAAACTCTCACAAAAGGAGAGAACAAACCCAAAAATTGGGAAGAAAACTCTCATAAAGAGAGAGTAAGGAGGATTATTAATGACTAAAAAACAAAAAACAAAGGAAATAAAGAAAGAAATGGGGCTTACCATCATCAAAGAGATGATGACGGTAGCCCCTTGCGGCTGCCAAAGATTTTAGGGTTTTTTTTTAGAAAGGAAGAGGCGAGAGAAAGTTTTTAGGTAGGCTTTCTTTTACACTGCTCATTTAAGTTTATCTTTCTTATGACAAAGGATTTTTTTTTTTTTTCTCCCTCAGGTCTTGCATGCGGGGAACACAAATAAAAATGCCTACAAGGCTCTCATCGCTGCAGAATACAGTGGCGTGAAAATTGAGTTGGTCAAAGATTTTGAGATGGGTGTTTCCAACAAAACACCCGAGTTTCTTCAAATGAACCCCATTGGGAAGGTAACCTTTCTACCATGCAGAGTTTTTCTTTCATTTCCCTTAAAACCTTTCCTGATCTTAGAAATACTTTATTGTCATTTGTTAGGTTCCAGTCTTGGAAACTCCTGATGGCCCTATTTTTGAAAGCAATGCCATTGCAAGATATGGTAAGGTTAATGTTGCTCTCTCTAGTTAGGGTCTTGGACTTAATTGCATGTACTTGTTTCTTACTACTTTTCTATATCTTGCAGTTGCACGGTTGAAGGCTGATAGTCCACTCTATGGCTCCTCACTGATTGATTATGTAAGATTATTTGTGGCATGATGAATGTTTTTGTGATGCTTATGCCAAATGCGCGTATGGTGTTGCATCAGTACTTTGCATGGTTATTGAAGTTATCTTCTCTTATAGTTTGGTTTTTGTCTTCTGCTTGTCAGGGCCACATTGAGCAGTGGATTGATTTTGCATCTCTAGAGATTGATGCTAATATCTTGCGCTGGTTTGTTCCAAGGATTGGTTTTTCTTTATATCTTCCTCCGGTCTGTTGAGAATTTGCTTCTCTCTAACTCTCTCTCTCTCTCTCTCTCTCTCTCAATGTATATGCTATTTTAGGCTGTTAGCTGATTTTATTGTTATATTATATTGAAGGCTGAGGAAGCTGCCATTTCTGCAGTCAAGAGGGGCTTGGAAGCTTTGAACACACATCTTGCTTCTAATACCTACCTGGTTGGACACAGTGTGACATTGGCTGATATAGTCATGACATGCAACTTGGTTCTTGGTTTTAGTCGGATTTTGACTAAGAAATTTACCTCTGAATTTCCTCACGTTGAAAGATATTTTTGGAGTATGGTTAATCAACCAAATTTCAAGAAGGTTCTTGGTGAAATTAAACAAACAGAATCTGTTCCACCAGTTGCAAAGAAACCTTCTCAGCCTGTCAAGCCCAAGGACGAACCAAAGAAAGAGGTCAAGAAAGAACCGACCAAGCCCAAAGAAGCACATACACCTGTAGAGGAGGAAGAGGCACCCAAACCAAAACCAAAGAATCCTCTTGATCTTCTGCCTCCTAGTAAGATGATACTGGATGAGTGGAAAAGGCTCTACTCTAACACCAAAACCAATTTCCGTGAAGTTGCAATTAAAGGTACTGTGTTGTTCTCTGTCCATGTTTTGTTATATGGTTTTTTTGGGAAATTAATAGATTGAGGTATTATTGTAGGAAATTGTAAACAAAAAAATCCGTCTCTTCTTTGCTTTATCCTCTCTCTTCATTATTACCTGTCTTCTTTATAAATCTACCAACTATTTTGAGCTGTAAAACAGTAGGATAAAATTGGTTAGCTCTACCCTCTTCACAGTTAACACTCCTATCTTTTCTTTCTTTGTTTGGCTGGTTTTATAAGCTTGAGTGGGATGTTCAAGACCTGGGGTAGTAGTTCTTGCGTATGAAGTCTGAACTGTTTACCTGAGCTTGTACTTTGACCAATTTCTGCTGCCCATTGGTTTTAAAATCATAATATGTTCCATGATGCTGTGAAATTTAGAATAAAAATTGTGAATCATAAATCTTTTTTGCATATGGAAAACACTTTCGGGGGCGCTTGGTATGGGGTCTTCAATAAAGGGTAAGGGAATGGACTAGCTTGATTCCCGTAGTTGTTTATTAATAGGTCATTTTCTGCATTCCCTTTCCCCTCTTGTATCCCCCACTTCCCTCCACTGTGATTCCCTACCCCCACCCCCCATGGTAGTTCCATTCCCTTTTCTGAGACACCCATGCAATATCGCACAACCACACCTATCAACACTACCACCAGCAACAACCACCGCAACCGTCCAACAACTACTGCCACCAACACCTTCATCACCCCCACCACCACCCCCACCTTCATCACCAACGCTAGTACCACCACCCTTAACAAATCAAACCACACCCAATCACCTAATACCACCTTCACCACCCCGTGACCGCCCCTTTAAACCACCCAAAACCAACCTCACCCTCCCTGAAACCACGCCCCACCCTCACGAAACCACCCCACCTTGAAAACCCATCCCCTTCCACCTAAAAGCAACCAACAACCATCCAAAAACCCACAACCTAAAAAAATTGAAATAAAAGAAGAGGTAAAAAATGAGTAACTACCTTTTCTTATCTTCAATTATGGCTTTAAAAGGTCAAATTCAACTGTGAAAACTCTAGATCTAGAGTTTCATATTGAAATTTGACCATTAAAACCTTGAATTGAGCTTTAATGGTGGCGATGAAACAAAAAGAGGAGAGAGAAGGGGCTGCAGTGGCAGCAAGAAGGGGGGGGGGGAAGGGGGCCGGCAAGGAATGGCGGCGATGGTGGGGTGGCAGCCAGCAAGGGAGGTGGAGGCATATGAATGAGGGATAAGGTGGTGGTGCAATGGTGAGAGGAGAAAGAGAGGTGAATGACCAAATATTACCCAAACAACAATTTAAATCAAAGGGTTTTGCTTTCCATTCTCTCTTACCCTTTCTTGATTCCATTACCCCCTTCTCTTTCTTGATTGGTGGAACAAGGTTTTGAACCCATCTGCTATCCTAAACCACCTGATCTACAGAGGTCCTTCCGTATAGGGCTACTGTTAGACTGAAAACTATGTAGATCTAGCTTTTTACATTTCGCATGTTCTGATAAATATATAGTTCTTTTTTGTTAAAATTTTGGCTGTTGTCGTCTCTGCTTGGCGTCCAACTGTCACTCTCTCATTTCTTGCTCTGCTGTAAGCGTTTTTCTGTTGTCATCATAATCTGCTCTTCTTTTACCGCCTATTTACATGTCAATTAATGTTCATGTAAAGTCTAGACTCTATAGCAGACATTGTTCTTCTTTTGTGAAGATTTAGCTTGTGAAAAGGCATTTGCCATTTGCAGCATTTCATGCCGTATCTTCTGAATGTTCAAACTTGTAGACTTGTAGTAGCAGATGCGTTTGTCCAGTGCAGTAAAATATCATATGGTGATTAGTTTGTGTCATTGAATCTCCTTTGTGTATGAGGTAAACCTGTTACATCTAACAATTTCAGTATGTGGGCTAGTGCTCAATTGTTGCCCACCAAGAGACATGTTTTGACTCTCATAGTAGTAACAAATATAGGCCTTGTTTGGCAAATGGCTGATGGCGGTTAGCTGGTTTACTTGGCTTGTTTGACCAGTTTGGATGTTTATAATGGCTTTTGAAATTAGCTGTTTAAGCTGACTGCTTATAAAAGTGTGTGGTAAATTTAGTTGGTGGATGTTGGCTGTTTATTAGATAATTTGTGGGTCAACAAGCCAAAAGCCAACAAAAAAAAAGCTACTCATAGCAGCTTTTTCATTATGGCTTAAAAGCCAGCTTTTTCGCTGAATGAAAAGCCAATCAACAAACACTTTTTTGGCTGTTTGACCACATAAAAAAGCCAAAAGCTAACCAATAAGCCACCAAAAAGACATTTACCAAATATGGCCATACAATTTGTAAAAAGAGCAGAACACCTTAACCACCATATAGACACCGATTTATGTGACTGGTGAAGGCACTTGTGAGTTTTGACTTTGTGTTTCAGTAACAATAAATTTTAGGATAAGAATGTCAATTCATGAATGTTCTTGTCCAGTGATTGAAGACTTGAAGTTCTATTTCTCATTTGTTACTCAGAAGAGGTGTGAAGTGTGCATGGATTTTTGCAAGTTATTTTTTTTTTAAATCTCTTTTTTTTTTGTTTGCAGGATTTTGGGATATGTATGATCCTGAGGGATACTCTCTATGGTTTTGTGACTACAAGTACAATGAGGAAAATACTGTCTCATTTGTGACCATGAACAAGGTTGGTGGATTCTTGCAAAGAATGGATCTTGCTAGGAAATATGCATTTGGCAAGATGTTGGTGATCGGATCGGAACCCCCATTCAAGGTCAAGGGTTTGTGGCTCTTCCGTGGACAAGAAATCCCTCAATTTGTGGTTGATGAATGTTATGACATGGAACTTTATGAGTGGAAAAAGGTGGACATCAACGATGAGGCTCAAAAGGAGCGTGTCAGTCAAATGATCGAAGATTATGAGCCTTTTGAGGGAGAAGCTTTACTAGATGCCAAATGCTTCAAGTGATTGGTGTTTTCTGGCTAGTGATGTTATGTAGTTTGGTGGTTTGGTGATGCATACACATATATCTGCTGCCTTGCCATTCAACTTTAGAATTTGGAGGAATTAATGATTTTTGTGAGTATTGTCCAAATTTACCTGGAGTTGTGTTTTTAGACGTTTTCGCATGGTTGACAATACTGGCTTTTAGACGGTTTCGCAGGATCAGGATCTTAGTCACCAGGTTGACAATATTCTTCTTTACTGCTTGCATTACTAGGTAACCCCAAGGAAAATTTGATATGATAAACATAATAGTGTGTAACTTGCAGTATAACATGTTATGCTTATTATTTTAGCTGAGAATGGTGGCAAATTGGGCATTTGAGATGCCATATTCCAAGGACTGTAGTTGATGTATACATTGAGTACAGGGTATCATCGTACAAGACCAAAAATTCAGCATCTACAATAATATCATTAATATTTAACAAATTTTCAAAATAACTTGACAAAATGTTATAATTAGAGAATCACTAAATGGCCAAGTGAAAACTAATGCTTTGTTTGGATAGGAAACAAGGAAGGAAAGGAAGGGGAGGGATAGAAGAGGAAGGGAAGAGAGAAGAAAGGAAGGGGGAGGTGAGCTTGATTTTCCCTTTAAATTTCTCCAATTTTGGAGAGATTATGCTTATTAAAGAGAAAGGGGAAATGGATTTTAGAAAATAATTATGAGGATGAAGAATTAGGGACGTGTTTACACTGTCCTTAAAGCAATTTTAACCCCTACTATGATTGCTATGGGTTACCGGTTAATATGCTTTCAGGATTTTCCCTAAGTTCGAGATCAATTAAAGCAATGTAATTGAACTCCCAAAGAACACTTTAAGAACAATTAGAATAGAAAAAGAAGAAGATAAAAAGTGAAAAGTGAGTTATAATTTTTGGAGCTATTAAAATATATAATAATAGTCTTTTAATCCAAGAGTCACTATTTCCAATAAAATAATTAATTAAGATAATCTGACTTTTAATGAATAGTCACTATTATCCTAATCAATTTAACTGTAAGAAACTTACCGCTTACACTCGCCCGATCGGGCCAAACCCGCCTGGTCGGGTAAATAAACGGACAAATCTTTTAACTAGGCTCGCGCCCGATCAGGCAAAGCCCGACTGATCGGGCCATCTATACTTCAGAAAATAAGTTTGCTCTCACGCCCTACCGGGCTAACTAGCCCTATCCGGTGAGCAAATATTATTTTCTTAAGTATATGTTCGTGCCCGACCAGACAATGCCCGCCTGATCGGGCCCGTGGTCATAAACCATGACACACGTTAAAATTTTGTTATGCTCCAAATATTAAACTTATAGACTAGGACCAAGTTAAATTTTTCCATTTAACCAATGTGTGAGCTTCTTCCCAACATCAAATTAAATAGAATAGAGTAACTTATACACTAGCTTCAAGCTAAACTTTTCTATCTAACCAATGTGGGAGTTTCTTCCCAACATCAAGTTAAATAGAATAGAGTAAGCTAATATCCTCTATTCAACCAATGTGGGAGCTTTTTCCAACAAGTTAAAATAGAATTGAACAAGCTAACTTCTTCTATTCTATCAATGTGGGACTTCCATCCAACATTTAGCTATATAGGCTAACCTATATAACCAACTTCTATTCTACCAATGTGGGACTAATTTCCCATCATTCACAAAACCTATTATGAAGACTACTCTAACAATCCCCCACTTAGTCTACAAAATTGGGTATGTTCTTAACCAACAAAATTATGCATCAATGAAGGTATCTTAGCGATTTGAACCTCCACCTAGTGTAAACTTTTAAAGTAACGACAAAATTAACGGTAGCATGTAGCTTTGAACCATAATCTTAAATATCATTACCGGAAATTCTACACACACAATTTTGTTAAACCAAATGTTCTTTGAATTGGTAGCACTATTATGGCCATGTGCTCATCCTGGTATTCATGAACATCTCCAAAAATAAAACACACTTTTGTTAGGAACGACACCATTCCTATATGTTCATATAGATTAAGTACAAAAATAACCTTTGAAACTTCATTAAGAGTCTAAAACTCACCCTTACACATATATATTAATTATACTCAACAATACTCAATATATCATCAACAAACAAGTTGTTTTTACCACATTGAACCTTTAATATAGGGGTAGTACTATAGGAAAGGTTGGGTTTCCGTTGTTCTTGATTAAATAATTGGTTTCAAACCAATTTCCTTGGACATTGTTTGCACCATGTCCCTTGGTAATCCTTTTGTAAAAGGATACGCCAAATTATTGCAAGACCTTACATACACAATAGTTGTTATAGCATCTGATATTAACACTGACGTACATATGCATGTCTTAAACTAATATGTCTAGATTTTCCATTATAAATCTTGTTATACGCTCTAGACTATGTAGCTTCACTATCACAGTTAAAAGAAACGGCTGACATCGGTTGTGGCCACAACTCTATGTCTAATAACATGTTCCTCAGCCATTCTGCTTCTTTCTCTGTTGCTGCTAAGGCTAAAAATTCAGCCTCCATGGTGGAATGAGTAATACAAGTCTGTTTCTTTGAAGCCCAAGAAACAGCACCTTCACCAAGCATAAAAACCCACCCACTAGTGGATTTATTATCACCAGTATTAGTAATCCAACTAGCATCTGAAAAACCCTCAAGAACAGATGGAAATCTATTATAATGCAAACCAAGATTTTTAGTTCTCTTTAAGAATCCAAAAACTCTACCAATAGCTTTCCAATGTTCAACACTAGGATTGCTAGTATATCTAGAAAGTTTGCAAATTGCAAATGCAATATTGGGCCTAGTACAATGTGATGCATACATTAAACTACCTATTGCACTTGCATACTCAAGTTGAGCAACCGCTCTACCATTATTCTTTTCAAGTTTACATGACGAATCATAAGGGGAATTGGCTTCTTTGATATTCAAATGCTTAAATTTATCAAGCATTTTATCAACATAATGAGATTGACTCAAAGCATAACCCCCCCCCCCCCCTTGTGTTTTATAGCTTTGATTCCTAATATTGTATCTACTTCACCCAAATCTTTCATTTGGAAACAAGAAGATAAATATTCCTTAGTCTCATTAATGCCTTTTATAATTCGTCCCAAAGATTAACATATCATCAACAGATAAACATACAATGACTCTATAATCTTTTGTAAACTTAGAATAAATGCATCTATCAGCGGAATTATGATTAAAACCATGTGACAAAATTGCAGAATCAAATTTTTCATGCCACTGTTTTGAAGCCTGTTTTAATCCATACAAAGAGTTAACCAACTTGCAAACTTTACTTTCATTACCAGGAAGAACAAAACTCTCAAGCTGCCACATGTACACTTCCTCATCTAAATCACCATTAGAAAAGATGTTTTTACATTCATTTGATGAACAAGCAAGCCATAAATAGAAGCTAAAGCCATAAGAACTCTAATGGATGTAATTCTAGTAACGGGTGCATAAGTATCAAAATAATCCACTCCTTCCCTTTGAGTAAAACCTTGTACTACCAACCTAGCCTTAAAAGATATTATCTTCCCATTTGTGTCCTTTTTAATTCTAAACACCCATTTACATCCAACAACTTTGGAACCAGGTGGCAAATCCGTGAGATACCAAGTATTATTTGAAATCAAGGAATCCATCTCATCATTTATTGCCTCCTTCCAATAAGCTGCGTTTCCAGAAGCCATTGCTTCTTTAAACGTTTTTGGATCATCCTCTACATTAACATCAACATTAAGTAGAATGGGTATCTTATTATTAACCTCACATCTATCACCTTCTACAAGAAAGAGAATAGCTTATGAATCAATAAAATCTGGACTCAAAATTTTCCCCTTCCTTGCCCTTACACTTCTTCTAGGTTCACTAGAGAAATCGGACAATTTTCTAAAATTACTTGAGATAGAAACATTATTAGGAGAAACTTGTGGTAGTGCCGAATCATAAATGTTTATGGAATCCCCACGAAATTTATTCTCAAAAAATTCAGCATCTCATGATTCCACTATAACATTAGAATCCAAATCCAAAAATGTATAAGCTTTTGAATTTTCTGCATATCCCACAAAAACACTCTTTAAAGCTCTAGGAATTTTCCCACGGAATTTTCTGATTTTTGTGAATCTAATGGCATTATACATCAGGTTAGTGCCCCATATAGACCCCAATAAAATGGAGTGGCTGAAAGAAAGAATGGTGTCTTAGGTGATATGGTAAATGCCATGCTTGTTAATGCAAATTGCTTTAAGATTGTTAGAAAATAATTATGGGGATGAAGAATTAGGGACGTGTTTACACTGTCCTTACAACAATTTTAACCCCCACTATGATTGCTATGGGTTACCGGTTAATATGCTTCCAGGATTTTCCCTAAGTTCGAGACCAATTAAAGCAATGTAATTGACCTCCCAAAGAACACTTTAAAAACAATTAGAATAGAAAAAGAAGAAGATAAAAAGTGAAAAGTGAGTTATAATTTTTGGAGCCATTAAAATATATAATAACAGCCTTTTAATCCAAGAGTCACTATTTCCAAAAAATAATTAATTAAGATAATCTGACTTTTAATGAATAGTCACTATTATCCTAATCAATTTAACCGTAGGAAACTTACCGCTTACACTCGCCCGATCGGGCCAAGCCCGCCTGGTCGGGTAAATAAACGGACAAATCTTTTAATTAGGCTCGCGCCCGATCAGTCAAAGCCCGGCCTGTCGGGCCATCTATACCTCAAAAAATAAGTTTGCTCTTGTACCCGACCGGGCTAACATAGCCCTATCCGGTGAACAAATATTATTTTCTTAAGTATATGTTCGTGCCCGACCAGACAATGCCCGCCTGATCGGGCCCTTGGTCATAAATCATGACACACATTAAAATTTTGTTATGTTTCAAATATTAAACTTATAGACTAGGTCTAAGGTAAATTTTTCCATTTAACCAATGTGTGAGCTTCTTCCCAACATCAAATTAAATAGAATAGAGTAACTTATACACTAACTTCAAGCTAAACTTTTCTATCTAACCAATGTGGGAGTTTCTTCCCAACATCAAGTTAAATAGAATAGAGTAAACTAATATCCTCTATTCAACCAATGTGGGAGCTTTTTCCAACAACAAGTTAAAATAGAATTGAACAAGCTAACTTCTTCTATTCTATCAATGTGGGACTTCCATCCAACATTTAGCTATATAGACTAACCTATATAACCAACTTCTATTCTACCAATGTGGGACTAATTTCCCTTCATTCACAAAACCTATTATGAAGACTACTCTAACAATGGATCCCTCCCTCCCTTTTCCCTTCCCCAATCCTTTA